TTTTATTTTAATTTTGATAGTTTTGAGTACTGAGGTTCGACGATTACTTTTCATCCATGTGAAATATGACTGATAAATACCTTAAGGACTTCTTTTTTAAGTTAATCGGTTTCGAAACCCTTCTGAAACAAGGTAAGAAGACACAGTACCTCTACTTTTTGTTACCAAATGAAAAGAATTTGTAAGCAGACGATTGCATAATTGCTTGCCAGTCAACATTTATTTATCTTATAACAGGTAGAAAATATCGATTCTGATAGAAGAACTTGATTCTTTTCCAACTCTGCTCTTGGTTCAGAAATCAATTTTCAAAAGTTGATCTAAGCAACTGAGTTGAATTTATAGTGAAAAAAAGTTTACGAAATCATTTAGTTTCACGAAGAAATACTGCTTCGTACAATACAGTGTTGCATACATTTGCTTGGATGGCTTTTGAGTATGTCCGAAAAGTTCCTATTTCAAAGTACTCAAGATTTGTATCAAAAGTAAATGTCAATCATGTGATAAACGTAGAGATATTATGTGTCATTAATTTAGTCCAGCAAACAGGTAGAGAATGTCACATTTACTTCACTTTAAATACTTTATGACGACTAGGAGTTTCAAATCTATCCTTTGGGTCCAGAAAGAAAATATGTTCAAATACACTTTAACTTCTTAACTCCATGGTAAATTTATTTAAAGTTTTCTTCAATCACTTTTGCCTGTGCATTTTGAGCTTTTGTTGTGCCTATGTAATGTCTTCCTTCTCTAACGACCTACCTCTTATGCTTCGTCCTTCTACACATCTCTATAACTTTCCGTTTACTTGTTATTGGTTTTTACTGATTTTGACCACAATCTATGAGTTTCTTCTCTTTCGACAGCTACAGCTTTTCCATTAGGTGCATATTTTGAAGTCATGTTTGACCATATGAAGTATTCTGTTCAGTGCTTACTAACGACTGAGTGCAATTTTAGACTATAAGAGGCTGGTAGTGACTCATAATTTTCAGGTTTGTTCAGCATTCTTCATTCTGTCTCTACTTAGGTACTCTTCTCGAAGAATGTTCTGAATTAAACCAAGTATTATTAGAATAGATTATGAAGGTAGATGAAATTTAAATTCATGTACATGTTCCGTTTAGTAATGGGTATATATATATATGTATTCACATCAGATAAAATAAACCTAGGCAAAAAGAAAACACATATTTAGTATAGGGGTTTTTATATGATACCGTCGTTGATTGGACCGAATTGATCAGTCTCCATTAGCATATGGGCTCCTGCGCGGATGCCTCGATATCGCCAGCAATCTAATTATGTTAATGATGGATCGTGACCAGCAGTGGAATCCAGGATGCGCATTTCATCCTATTTGGGACTCGTCAGCTGGATGTACCTGCATCCCAGTGAGTGATGTTGCTCCCATCGGGATTCGGACTCGGGAGCGATCGCTTCAAACGCCAGCGCGTTTTCCACTACACCACCGAGCCAATCAACAATGGTATCACATGAAAACCCTTATACTAAAAACTATACCCGTGGCACAAGAAGTGGTGATCGTGGATTGGTGGTGTAGTGGATAACGCTCTGGCGTTTGAAGCGGTCTCTCCCGAATCCGAATCCCGATGGGAACAACATCACTCACTGGGATGCAAGTACATCCAGCTGACGAGTTCCAAATAGGACGAAATGCGCGTCTCGAATTCCACTTCTAGCCACGATCCATCATTAACAAAACACGTATTTTTTGGCTATATGATAACAACTGAAGCGTGTTTTACCCAGTTAAAACTTAAGAACAAGTTGATCCTAAGAACCGCAGCTGATTGCACCAGAGAAAACTTTAAACTGTTATCCTAGCAAACATTTTTTGGTAAATTTACTACTGTTTCGTCCTGAGACTACGTCTACAGTTGGATTACGTAACTTGGTTAGTATGTAAATGCGTCATTACTGAAGAGGTTTAAGCTTTAGTCTACCAAAGAATCAAACTTCAGCGCAAATATGTTAATTCTTGATATATTATTATAGTTTCTGTCCATGATGCGATTCGAAAAGAAATAAATAGTACACTGAGAGGTTGAAACTTTTATTTCGTAAGCGCCCACTAAGATGCATCCTTGGCTTAATTGTGGCCTGTAATTGTAATTAGTTGTAAGCTGCTACGTAGTATGTAAAATTTGAACATATGTTTATATATTTTATTGTCTTCGTTTGAACAAGAAAGGTTTAGAGATCAGAACACTTTAATTTGTCTTAGCCAACACAGTTCGCATTATACAAAACAACATTGGTCTAATGTGAAGTCAGATAAAGAATCCCAAATGTTTTGATGATCATGTGATCATCTAGTGACCGGTATCAAATTGCATGTGCAATATATTCTAAAATTTTTCAAGTTTTAATGTTGTGTGACTAGATCTGTTAACCTCATTGAACACTTGTCTTTACTTTCCAATGGGTTGATTCAATTGACTTTTCATTTTAAATGCAAAAAATATCTTAGAACCAAAAGTTAGCAGTTTGTAAGCCATTTGTGGGTAACTGAAAACAGGATACTATATGTGTCTACCAAGTATACTCAGAGTATAAGCAGATAGCTATTCGATACCTCCAGAGAATTCAAAGACTATTAAGATTGTCAGCTTGTGGAGAAAACAGACTTATCTAGTGGCTCTGTCAAATCCATTAAAAGCTGATACTGCCAAGGACATCCTTCGTCCCTAAGTAGAACATTCTCTGTTGCAAATATTTGTATTGCATCCTCATATCAACAGATTTGTCAATGCGTGAAACAAAAGCCGAAGCAGTTGGCCACATCAATGTGAATTTAAAAATTCACTTGGTCCTGTGGAACTGAGTATGTCTGCCGTAATATGCACTCTTTTTCAAAATGTGCTTGCAAACATTACCCAATCTGGCTGCTGAATGGTGAGCACGAAGCCATCTCCAGCTTCATCGTTGAACATATCGTAGACTGTGGGCATATGGCTGTTCTGGAAACTTTGTTCACAGTTTTCTCCCAGGTTCGACCAAACTGTTGTTAAGAGGTGAGGATTACACACTTATGTAGAGCAGGAGATTTGGCAATTCACAGCCTCAAACCATGATTGTATATTTAAAAGAAACGTGTACATACACCTCCTTTGCTGAAGTGTTAACGAGGTTCTCTTCACCTCAGTTTATATTTTATTACTTGTCGTTCATTGCATTTTCCAAAGAGTTTTTAAGATCGTGTCTTGTGTTATGTGATATCACTTCATTCCCTATATACACTTATCGATTACGTTTGACTTTTGACCGGAAACGTATCTGGAACATTCTATCATTTTTCTTATATATTTACGAATGTACAGCTGTGAAAACAAGCCAACGGAAACAAAATTATCTTCTCTGTAACCTCCTTTTTGTTTTTCAATAATACATGATTGTTTTGCACAGAATTTTGAAGTGAGCAGTCAAGTTCAACTGAGATAAGCAGTACTTTGAAAAAGCATATCACAGTCATATCAGCTAGTGAAAATCTTGAGCTTAAAACAGTACTCCTGATTACGTAGTCTGATGATGAATATTTTAAGCAATATTATTCTTAGGTTTTCTTTTGTCTTGTAGGCCTGAATGTTATTAAACACCTAACTTGAGTCAGGAAGCTATAAAGTCGCCTTTGTTAACTGCTTATAAGCCTTTGTAGTGTAACAAGAACATTTCAACTGTGTCTGAGAGTGTGGACTTTCGAAACTGGTCATTTTTCGACAGTCTGTTCAACTCAGATCACTGTGTCTTTGGTTTCCCAAATTGCTATTCATTATCGTATGTCAAATGTATATTTGGGTTATTGGTTGCGACTTTTCGACTCAAGCATTTTAGTATAAGTGATGCTGTGAGCTGTTGAGTGGCATCACCTATTTAAACTTCCATAAACAGACTTACTGGTCGCAGTGAGAACCTCAGGATCCACTGAGTCTAATTCGGTGGGATAATTTTAAGGGATATATTTTTGATGCTGTCTGCACTCAGCATGTGGAACAAGATCCGGATTTTCAACACCAATTCAGTCAAGTCAGTGCTTCTGTATGGCTCAGAAACTTGGCACGTTATGAAAGGCATTTCCAACAAATTACAGACATTCATCAACAACTGCCTACGCTGGCTCGTTACTGAAGATGAGATGGCCAGAATAGTAAGAATAAGCAACAAGGAACTCCTTGGCTGGCAACGAACCAACCAAGAATCCATCGCACAACAAATATGCAGAAGGAAGTGGAGCTGGATTGTGCATACAATGAGAAGGCCAATTGGGGAGATCACGAGGCAGGCTGGGCCTTCGAGTGGAACCCGGATGGGAAACGACGTGTTGGGCGTCCGAGGTGAGGGTGACATGAAGGAGATCAAGCGAGGAAGAAATGAGAGATTGTGGGCTGTTGTGGAGATAGGTTCAAAAGATTTCAGAGAATAGAGTGGAATAGAGACGTGCTACTGAAGCCCTATGTTCCACTAGAAACCCAAGGGACAAATAATAATAATAATAATTTTTGATGCTGTATTACTCCTAGTTCTGTGAACATCTAATCATATATTTAAAAAGTAATGGGCTTCTAAAAAATAAGCATTTGTTACTCCATTGATCACAAATAAAGGAATTAAGAATTATTTGATGTTCCGCAGGCCGCAAAATTTTGCTCTTTATTCATTCAACGGCCTGGAAAACTGATTGAAAAATTATTAGTATATTTGAAACCATTTAGGCTTAAACCTCACTTATACACACACTCCTTTTGTCTTTTGAGCAGAATGTTACTATTCATTAATGTTACCAAAGGTTCATTCTTTGTAAAACGTTGACTATGTAACTTGCATACTTAGATATTTATAAGAATAGTTCAAAAATATTTCTCTGGTAATTCATGATTGAATGGCTGACTGTATCACTAAGCGAAAGATTATTGGACATGTATTCTGAATCTTTTATGGCATAATTAACCAAATTATAAAATGATAAATCTCTAAAATTTAAAACCGTAACTTTTTATTTTACACTTTTCAGCATCTTTCAATCATTCTACTAAGTAGGAACTGGAAATAAAATCTTCAAAAGAGTAATTGTTCTGTACAGATAATTGTGAAAATCTTAGAAATAAATTAGTCATAGCTATATGTAAGGAATAAGAGAAAAAAAAAGTATGATTAGGAGACTTTTAAAACAAAATATATATTGAAAGAAATGCAAGCTTTAGCATACCTAGACAGCAAGAGAAATGAGTGATTTAATTTATCGAATATCTTCTGTAATTTAAAGTATATTTAACATTATTTTACGTCCTACGTAATCAGAAACATATGGTATGCATAATTGTATCCAAGAAGGATATAGAAGTTTAAGTAGAAAGGAAAAGATGTGAAGGATATTTATCACTCATTGGAATGTGATTATTTAATGACATAAATCTGGCGACAATTTTTGTGACGAGATATTCTATATCATTTAAAGCCGAATAATAATATTCATATTGTTTAAGTTATAAAGAATACATTTCTTGAAAGTAAATATTTACATACAATTTGAGTTAAATTTATCTCTTTTGACTAGTACTTCATCTTGTACTACTCATAATATTGACAACAGTATGATGGGTATTCAATAGTAAAGTTAACAAGGTAAAACAGACTAAATATTTACCAAAACGTCTATGATCTTTTTGTATCTTTTCAGTTATATATGTTTTGCAGACCATGTTTCACATATATGATAAGGTCTATTGTTTGCAAAACTACATCGATTAGTTCGTCTATGTAAACGACATATTGAAAATTTGTCTCTGCATGTCATTTCATTTGAATTGGGACTAACTGGTACATAGCATGTATTTGGATCTCGATGATGGACTGGATTCACATATAATACTCGTTGCAACTGAAATACAAAAAGTATAAAAAAATTAAAATAGTCTAACTAACAGAAAAATTTTGATTTGATATACCAAGGATTCATTTGTATACCCTATACACCAAGTATTTATATGTGATGCCGATTTCTAAGTACTGTTTATGAAGCGTTTATATACTATTTGGCAAAATATTGAAAAATTTGTTCACCAAAGCTATAATTCAGAAAATTATCCAATCTGAACATTCACACCATTAGCTGCATATGTTTTCCAGAATAAGTGGTTACCTAAGGGACTGGTTAACTAGTTCACCAGTTACTAGCCGGTCCTAAGCCCGAGAAAAAGAGTGAAGATTAGGCGTAAGGCTACTAACCCTACCCCTTAAAACAAATCCAACTGCTGAAGAAACTTCAAAGCACAAACAAAACTTAAAAAATAAAAACCAAATTATTCCTCGCTGGAAACGTAGGGGCGAAATGGTTTGAATTTCGTCGATGTCTGATATTACACAAAGTTGAAGATCTACATGCGAAAACTAACAAGTTGACAGAAGAGGTAGGGTAGCAAAAAATGGACTTCAGGTTAACGTAGAGAAGACAGAGATGGAGGTGATGAAGATACCCAACCAACAACAACACCAAAACAACAACAACAAGCTCCAATCACCATCAACGGGAGAAACTAAAAGGAAGTAGCCTCTTTCACTTATCTAGGCAGCATCGTTTCAACTACAGGCGGCGGCACAGACGGGGACGTAAAAGTCAGCGGGGATCGGAAAAGCAAGACAGGTAGGTGTTCAGTAACCTGAAACCAGTGTGGAGGTCTACTGCACTCCGCTCCACTCCACTCAGCATAAAGCGTGAACAACATCCGGATTTCAAACACTAATGTCAGTCAAGTGAGTCTGTGCTTCTATGTGATGGTTGAGAGACTTGGCGTGTTACGAAAAGCATTTTCAACAAACTTCAGACATTCATCAACACCTGCTGTCCACACTCGCTCCATGCTGAAAATCAGATGGCCAGAACAGTAAGAATAAGCAACAAGGAACTCTGGCTGGCTGGCTGGCTGGCAACGAACCAACCAAGAACCTATCGCTCAGCAAATATGCAGAAGGAAGTGGAGATGGATTGTACATAAACTGAGGAGAAGACGAGTTGAGGACGTCATGTGCCAGTCCAAGCCCTCGAGTGGAACCCGAACGGGAAACGACGTGTTGGGCGTCCGAGGTGAGGGTGACACGGAGGAGATCTTGTGAAGAAGAAATAAAAGCATGTGGACAGTTGTGAAGCAAAGCTGAAAAGACTGCAGAGAAGAGAGTTCAATAACGACGTGCTACTGAAAGTCTTCTGTTCCGCTAGGAACCCATGGGATAAATAATAATAATAGCAATATAATGTTCTTTGCATAAATAAGCACGATTACAAAGCCCCTCTTTCTTTTTCATACCTTACATTGATCAAAAATTAAAAACCACTGGAATTAGAAAATTATTACTGGTAAAGAATAAGTAGGACATGAGTAAAGTGGATCAATAAAGTATTGGTGCATATGACACATTCTGTGCAAGGTTAATAATGAATGCATTTGTGGCTGCATTGTCGATATCCAGCCATTAATGTCCAGCCTACTAAATATGTCATTCATGTTGCCTACACTTACTAACTCAACTCAGACCAACACCTAATAACTGGATTGGTGTTGTAATTGTTATTGCAGTCGCATTCAGTGCCCACAGAAGGTCGAAGACTGACAATAATCACGTAAAGAAACAATTATATCTGTGTAGGTTCAGATCACTTTCGGTTTGAATTCTATTTTACATAATGCTGCATAGCAAACAACTCATACCTGATTTTTGATTAGCACCCTTGTTTACACAACTCAAATGATCACTAAGGTCCTGTAAATTCATAACTTCTTGACGACATTAATAAAGTATATGGTATTACTCATATTCTGCTTGACTAAACTGACACTAACTGTGATGACACAAGAAAATGTAAACAACTCGTAGTCGTCTGGTTTATTCAATTCGATATTATTAAAAGGCAACAAGTTTCGCTGTTTAGTGTTGAATAGTTTAGATAGACCTTTCGATTTCGAATTGAGTTACGTAGAATAGAAGAGTTTAGTGCTGTTACAGATTGCTACTTTTGTGTTAAAATATTTAATTTGATGCAGTAGAGAGCCATACTGTGCATATATGATGAATTATGCTCCGGACACAGTTTTTTTAATCCATGACCGTCCTAAGATAGTCACAGTGATTGGATTTGATTAATTAGCTATATTACTCACACATTCTTTGACTTTGATTTTGTAGAAACCTTAAGATATTAGGAATAGGTGTTGAATAAATCAAACTCCGTGTAATACTATTCAGAAACCAAGCAACTATTCCCCCCAGAAGATAAATATATTAGCTCATCCTTTAGGTGACTAAATTTTCTCAACTCATTTTTTCAATATCTCACGGTGTGTACAGAGACAGATATATTTCACTCCACGTTAATGACTCCAATTAGATTGCTTCTTGTATGTTGCTGTTATAACGAAGTGGCTACTCTCGGTCGCCTATTTGGATCTGTTTTCTTGAATGATCACATATTGCATAGCATTTTGAAAGATAAATCATCTTCCTTCAGTGGAATTTTCAGTAGAGTTTATCCGGATTTTGTTCTGTGTGATGCATCAGTATCAGAATTTTCAATAGTGAATATCAAGTTTTCGATACCTCTTGTTTATATGGCAACATGTTACACATTTTGAGTACGTGTTTCCCCATGCTTTGATGACTTTCCTCAATGGTATTTATAATTTCTTTATCACGTCCACAGCAGATTTGTTAGTGGGTGAAAGACAAGCTGGAGCACATGACCACATCAATGTACATTTAAAAGTTCACTCGATCCTGTGGAAATGAGTACGTCTGCCGTAATATGTGGTAGATTAAAAAACACTCTCGTATGCATTACTCAGACTGGTTGCTGAGTGGTGAGCATAAAGTCATCTCCAGCTCCATAGTTGATCATATCGTAGACTGTGGGCATGTGGCTGTTCTGTGAACCTTATTCACAGTTTTCTACCAGGTTCGACCAAACTGTTGTTAAGGGGTGAGGATTACATGCTTATGTAGAGCAGGAGATTTAGTGATTCACAGTCTCAAGATGCGAGCCATGTACAAGCACTCTCCTTACCGAGGTGTGAATCAAGTACTCTCACCTCTCTTTCTATTTTATTTTGTGTTTTATTTGTTTATTTATTTACATATTTTGTCTCACGTTTATATACTTATTTTTGCTAAATACCAAATCTCACTATTCAATACACTTTATAAAAACTGTTCAGATCATATCTTGCGTTACGTAGTATCATCTTGTTCTTTATATGCATCTGTCGATTAAAGTTTGACCTTTGTCTAGAAAATTATCTAGAACGTTATCACTTTACTTTTATATTTACCAATGTACAACTATGAGTCATTGAAACGATAAATATCTTCGCTGTACCTCCTTTTTGTTTTTCATTTCAACCTTTTAAAAGTGTCCCTTAATGTTGTGAGGACGTATTGAAATATATCATGTGATTAGTGGTATTTTGTTTTATTCTTTGATTCACTTCAAACTTAGTAGCCGAAAGTTCCGCTGGATAACTTGAAAAATTCCAATAAACCACATTTCTCTATGAATAGAAGTGTTTGAACAATAAATTTGTCTATTATTATCTTTTATTTAGGCAGCCCGTTATCTTTGTTCATGGCGCAAATCAAAAGTGACAGATTTTTCAAACTACCTAATCTATATATGTAGGGAAATATATATTTAGTTCAAAGTATTAAATTTGTCTTTTATATATCTCCGTATTTTTAAAAACTTATTATATTATGAAGTTATATATTTGTATCTGTAAATGTATCTTTTACTATCAGAAATATCAGTGATATTAATCTCAGTCCTTCCACTGGTATTTTTACTGAAATTTAACTACTGCAGCCTGAAATCACTCATGCTAACGTTCACATACATCTTACTGACTAAGACTAAGCGAAGCCAATCAAAAATACTATCTCAGGAGGAACTACTTTTCAAAAAGTGGATCATGAAAAGTGATCAACCATTGTATGTTCTTTAAACTTCAGAACAACTATCTTGTCTATTTGACTAAATCGCTGGCACTTTTCTATCAATGCTTTATTGAATAACCACACTATATTGATGGTTTCAGTTTTTCGCTATACGAGAGGAAAGGTAAACCGATGGTAAAATCTCCTTTCTATTGCCAAACCTTCAGTTACTCTGTTCACTATGGTAAAACTTTTCAAAACTGAAATTGATTGTCAACTTTGCACTAAACAGCTAAGAATTATAAGATTCTATATCAACTACTATTAAGCAGTCCATACATCAAAATATGGTTGTAAAACATGTTGCATTTATTTGTTATTGTCTTTAAAACACATCGTCATTGGTGTAAGTGTTCAAATAATTTACTTTTATCGAAAGACCAGTTCGGAAAAGATTATTTCATAAGGTTTGCACTTCTCTGAATACAAGAAACACAGTGTCCATAAAATATGTGTATATACTGCTTTGCACGCCAGTCCAGTATAAACCCCTATATTTCTTGTTATCAGAAGATAGCATACATCACACATAAAGCTGAAGGTAACCAGATGGAGGGAGTCTACAAAGCTACTGAATTGGTTTCTAAGCCAAGTAAGGAAGCTTAAGTTGCCTGACATGAATTAATAACTTGATAGTAATCAACTGTTTGAATCCCTTGATAGTATAGCATATAATAAATGAAGACGACACATAAATGTTCTTTCTTTTACTTCACGAAAGGTTCAAATAACTGAATAATCGATAGTTGTTCTTAGTTTTTCAATATTTAGCCTATTTGCTGTATGAAAATTCTAGTTATGTTAACTTCCTGCATGTGAGCTGCTGCAAAGTGTGGCAGACTGAATTCATTATGCGAGGTTTTGTAGTGATTTACTTGTGTTTTTCGATGTAGTTGAGAT